TCACGGCATTCCTTCTCTTCGTGCCTAATACGCGAGTATTGACCATTGCTCATATGAGTAGTAGTACTCATAATTAAACCTACCAACGCGTTGCCTCTCCTCGACTGTTTTGAAGCCAAGTTATGTTTCGCGTCTTCAACCTCGGCCCACCCCTCGCCCCCGAGGCGGCACTCACAGCAGTAATTAAATTCCAACCGTCGTAGTAATGGAACTAACCTACAGTTGTGGGATGCTGTCTACGCTGTAGGTATCACATGCTCATTCTGCTTCACCACGCGCTTTGCCCAAGGCAACGCCCTCTCAAACCCTTCATCCTCGTCTTCGTCCACATGATGTTTCCATGGTCATCGAGCCAGGGCTTCTTCTTCTCCAGGCCGAAATATCGCATGCTCTGGAGGACGTTGATGGTTTCATCCAAATGTGCCGAGTTTCCTGTCTTCTCATCGAGGCTGGATGGCAGCCTGAAAGGAAAAACCGACTTCGAAGTTGCCAATGACATGGCGCTCTTTAGCGATTGCTGGACCTTGAGGCTGATAAAGCTGCCGAGGATTCCTGAAGCTCATGATGGAAACAGCAATGACAGCAAAGCAACAGACACAAAACAGTGAGGAGCAAGTGGTATACACAAGGTTGGCGCAACTGGGCCAGGGCATGTTCTGATATTATCTGGAGGACACATGCGGGAAATTTTCAGTTGCGGACAGACCAATCGCATGAAATGTCAGCATTGGCGCAGAGAAACGTTCAACTGCAGAATGCTGCATACAGGACAGGACGGCGAGCTCTGCTGCTGATGCAAAAACCGTGCACAAATCGGGAGTAGGTGTTGTGATCCTCTTATTCAAAAAAATGTGTATATATATATATAATGTGACAGAACCCTACCTAAATACTTTCGCAGAAATAGGAACCAATCTTCTCTAGTTTATTCATGGCTAACTGTTGCCAGGGCTTTATGGTTACGCCAGCCTAGGCGACATCTACGACTGTATCCTACTATTAGACAAGTGTGGGAGCGATCATGTAGGGACTATAGGCGTGACATGCAGTGATGAGATAAGGATCTATATGGATCTATATAGTAACCTATTTGGGGCTGCAGAGTTTTAAGTTGGAAGGCATGCTTTAAGTTGGAAGGCATGAGGTCAAACCACGGAAATCCACTCGGAGGGACAGGAGGTCTTAGTCGATGGAACCAGGCCCATGCTTCTGGTTGTCCCTTGTCAACTTTTAACCCCTTACTCCTTCAATGTTATATGCTCCACCCATGAACTTTGATCTCCAGCCTTGTCAGGCCTTGTCATGCCTTGTCCGTAAAATTTCACAAGGGTGGGTGCGGTCTCCAAAGCTCTCAGTCACCGACGTTCATTGGGCTCCAAAACAACACCCAAAAGCGAAAACACCTCATGATCCCCAGTCGCTTGTCTCAATCTCCTTTTCATCGCTGCACGTGTCCACTTGGTCCCTGCCACTTGCCAGATGTCCGCAAGGCTCAGCCGCCTTGGGTTTCAAGCAAAGCCAAGCATGCAACCCAAAACTATGCGAATGGAACCGCAGGCTGGTAGCTGAAGAGTCCGACAGCACTGCAATAGGCTCCCTG